CTTGTTAGTCATCTTCACTCCACTCAGTAGCACCTATTTCACACTTACAGTGGCGGAGTAACAGGGACTCCTCGAGGCAACTAGCAGACCGGTTTACAACCTGATGACAGCGGGGACGGCCAATCACACGCGCAACAGCAGAGCCAATGGAGGAGCTGGTGGGCGGGTCTAAACCAGTGACGAAATTTGACGAACATTTTTTGTTAACGAACCTTTTTTCCATGACTAAGACGAGACTAAGACGATCTTAAAAAATAAAAACTATGACTAAATCTTAACTTTCGTTAACGAGACGAACATGTTGGTGGTTGAGGAAGTCACGATACTTTTTCCCCCTGAATTCGCACGCAGCTGACAGACAACAGACAGGCAAAGTACGGCGGTGTTACGTACAGTGCTCTACGGGTAGTAGGTCTACAGATGTGGTGTTCTGTTTTGTGTTGTTGGTTTGGTTTTGTCTCCCCCTTCTGTTTCCATTCTCTCACTTCACAGATGTGCACACCTGGTTCCCCTCATCCAATCACCACACCTGTTCCAGATCTCCCATCAACCGTTCCCCTTCACAGAGTCAATGTTTGTTCTCAGTGGGGAGGCTCTTCTGTGTTGAGCTGGGCCCGCGGTTTGAAGACCACTGTCTTGTGTTAAAATTGAATTAGTAACAGCCTACTGGTGTTTTTGTGATATCTTTTGGTTGTGCGCACAGGGTCAATGAGGACAGGTAAGATACTCCGGGGTTTACATATTGCTACACGTAGGTGTACCTGTTGTTAGTACCCTAGGCTAGAGTGAGCACCACCCACTGTATTTTTGGGTGCTAAGCACCGGTCAATGAGGGGGTGTTTATGTTCTCTTCTTGGTGCCACTGACAGTCCTTGTTGATCCCTGTGTTGCTCTTTTGAAAAACAAATACTTTGTTACGTTTCGTGTATTGGATTCTGTGTGGCTAACGCCTCACTTGCCTTGACCTGTCGCCCTTATGTTGCGCTCCGGGTCGAGCCACCAGGGAGCGTAACAGGCGGTAATTAACGCGTCATGACGTCATCCACGAACCCAGAACGCCCCCAGCGGTGCAGCGGTGGTTCTTGTGCACCGACTACGGACCGCGACGACTATTTTACGCTTCGGCGAGTTTGAACGTGGTTTCGTTAGTTTAGCTCAGCTGTCTCGGGTTAGCTGCCTGTTAGCTGCCTGTTAGCTGCCTGTTAGCGGGCTGTTAGCAGGCTGAAGCCGCGCTGCTTCACAGAAACATGAAGACGCGTTTAAAGACCGTCGGACCTTTCTGCTCTGTTCTCTGGCGACGGCAGGCAGCGTTTCCTCGCTGGATGAGACGCTCCGTCACAAACACACGTCTAATGTAATAAACTCATTGCAGGTTCTGAAGCCAAGAAAATAATGTATTGCAGATTGTAGGACGTTAAGGTCTCTCTTGTTGGGACAGTGGAAACAATAAAGGACCATGAAGTGTCAAAAGCATGGCAAGTAAACAGACAAAGACCACAAAGTGTTGCGTTTAGGTCCCTGGTCCTCATCAAGTTGTTACACCTTTGCCAATTTGTTAAATTGCCTTGCAAATAAATGCTTTGCTATTTGTTAAAATCCAAATCCTTTCATGTAATGATGTTTCACACGTCATTTATATCAGCTCACACAAACACTTGCACACAACCGTTTGTTCTTCGTCACATTTTACAACCCACTGTGGCCGCGAGTCAAAACGTTTGCCGACCTGCTATAGACCTGTCCTAGGAGGGACATCTATAGACCTGTCCTAGGAGGGACATCTATAGACCTGTCCTATGGGAGGGACATCTATAGACCTGTCCTATGGGAGGGACATCTATAGGCCTGTCCTATGGGAGGGACATCTATAGGCCTGTCCTATGGGAGGGACATCTATAGGCCTGTCCTATGGGAGGGACATCTATAGGCCTGTCCTATGGGAGGGACATCTGATGGACAACCAAGTATTATGCAGCTGTAGACACAACGCAGGGCGTCCCTGGGCCTGAGAAGGGAAGAAAAGGAGTTTAATATGGCTGTTAAATGAGACTAAAACTAATTACATTAGTCTAGTTTTCGACTAAAACTAAGGATTAAAATGACTAAATGTGACTAAAACTAATGCATTTTTCGTCCTAAGACTAAATCAGAAATAGCTGCCAAAATGAACACTGGTCTAAACTGAGGGAAACAGGCTTCAGCTTGAGCGGCCCTTTTTCCGCTGGGTCCTAGTGCTTGACCAGTCTCTGTTTACCGTAGCGTAACATTGTTTTTGGACGGTAAAAACAGCAGGGGACCAAAACGGGTTTTTTAAAAGGTGCAGGGGACATGTCTCCTATGTCCTTCCCCCAATGTGATATTGTGTATTTATATTTACACTTCCTCCTGCTTAAAGATGGACGACTGACCTCCCGTCTCATCTTCAAATCAAACTGCAGAGCAGCTCTTAAATGGACGTCTGCATTTGTCATTTATAGTAAATGATAAATATTCACTGCTTAGTTTTTCACATCATAAAATAATATGTTTCACAAGCTGAATATATTATCAGTGATAACTGGTTGTTCTTATCGTCCTTGTGTCTGTTGTGATGTGGTATTATTATTATTATTATTATTATTATTATTAGCTCCTCCTCCTCTGCTGCAGATCGTCGTCCCTCCTGAGCGTAAATACTCCGTCTGGATCGGCGGCTCCTTCTCCACCTTCCAGCAGATGTGGATCAGCAAGCAGGAGGACGAGGCCGCTCACAGCATCGTGCACCGCGAGTGCTTCTAAGGCGCTTTTCAGACACTTGATATTAATTATCAACGTTTCAGGACTTCAGGTCTGATGATAAATGAGCTTTACATGCTGCTGTTATAAATGATATTAACATTTTGACTGACTGGTAGAAACTGGTACAATGTACAATAGTATTTTCTACATATTAAACTACTTTATGTGCCGTTGAGCCTCAAACTCTGAGCCCAGTTCTCTCTGCTGCAATCTCACTAAAAGATTCCACCAAATCATTACAGATGTAGCTTTTAAATACTCACTTAGTTGTGGGACTTGTGAGTAAGATATTGTATTTAAATTAAAAAGTAGAGGCTAATACACCCTTCATTTAAGTCTCCAAACGCAAAGAAATCACCACGGCATCATTTTTTACAGAAACTGTCTGAAGACATTTTCATCGTTGTATTAATCAGAACTTTGCGTGATACAGAACGGAAGTGACCATTAACAGTAAAATGAGTTGAAGTTGATTTTCTGTTTCACTCGTCGACTGATCGGGAAGTACTGGATTCACCCGCCACAATAAAGGTCACAATGGAATGTCACTCTTTTTGGACATTGTTGCAAGTTTTCTTTGAGATGGAGACCATTTAACTTCTAGAATACTTTTTTTCTGCCATTTGTCCTTAAATCCGGTGAAGAAAAACTGGATAAGATGGTGATCAGTATTTCTTAAAAGCAATTTATTTATTCAATTACAACATGCACACAAGTAATGTAGCAGCACAGATATAATTAAAGCATCATGAATATTCTGCTCAAGCCACTAATTCTGATATTTTAATGCAAGTATATCTATAAAACACATTGAAGCAACAATGAAATTCAAAGTTCTCTACCGAAGAACATTTAAAATAAAAACAGTGATTCAAGAACAAAGAGAACGAAATAAAAAGTACAGTTTTAACTTTGTAAAGACCTCAGATAATAACTTGTGGTACTGAAGGGAAATGTGTCCACTGGTTCCTGTCTCCGTCCAGGTGAGTCTCCCTCTGGTTTCACTGCATCTGAAGAAGATCACATGAAGTTATTCCTCAGAAACGGAAGCAGGAAGTTGTTTTGAGTTGCAGCAGACTGACACCTGGCTGACCTTCACACCTGGTCCTCCTGCTCCTCTGGGTCTTCTCTCTGTGCTGCCATGTCTGAGAGGTCCTCACACTCAGGATGAAGGTCCATCTGATGGAGAGACGATGAGAGTCAAAGGCCTCAGAGAAGCAGTTCAGATACAACCGACCCTCGGCTAAGCCCCTCCCCCCTCCCCCAACGCACACTGTACATTCCTACGTTAGCAACCGTAACTAGGGACCAGAGGCCTTTAGAGGGTTGATGTCACTTATGGATTAAACATGTGGAAGACTGAATCCATCAACGATCAATAAAAAGTCCTTTGTTTGCTCCGAGGTAAGATGCTAATAGCGTTAGCTAGCTTAGCATGACAGTCGAATATGAATTATTCTCATTAATGCAAGAAACATAAATCTGTCACCCAGGAGATCCTTGTTTGTTCCTGGTGTGAAACAACAAGTACAACTTTGTCTCGTGACTTCAGTACTTTAAATTAGTTATTTTAACGCTAACTAATATTTATTCCTAAACTCTGGTAGTTTTGTTGCCTGAACTTAACCAAGTATTTCATAATCTTTTCCTAAATGTGCTTCTGATGAAGACACAAGCGTATTTAGTAAAAGTCTGTATGACTGAAATGTAAACGTTGCTGGTTTGCATCCCGACATTTCACCGCCATGTTTACGTGCTGTGATGCTGAAGCTGGACAGACCTAGCAACAGTAACCAAGGGGAGGGGCTTAGCTGATGGTCAATACGACTCTTTGTCCTTTAAATCGCTCTTTGGATTCAAAGGACATTTGCAGTAAACGTGGTAAATAAATATTGGTGGTTCAAAAGGAGAAAGATGTTAGTGATGAAGTTACTTCTGAATTATCTTCATGACTTAATAACAACAGACGATGACCCTTTGGTGAGTTCTGTCTCTGAGGACAAATGTCTCACCTCCACAGCCTCTCTGGACTCACGTGGTTCAATGGTGGAGCTCACAGCTTTCTTCTTCCTGCATTCAGTCATAAAACAAACAGATACACAAATAGATTGATGGACCTTTTCAAAGTAAAAGCTTAGTGAGGATGAGTTCTAGTTGTTTTACCTCGTCCACAGACAAAAGAGAAGCAGAAGAATCAGCATCACAACCAGCAGAGTCCACCTGGTGATGTGAATTATCATTGTTGTTCTATCAACACCTGGAGACACAAAGTTATTAGACAAACAGCACGTTACCTCATCAGAAGGACTTGATTCATGGATAAACGTGCAGGAGATGCTGTTTGTTGATCAGACGATTCCTGTCATGGAGAAACTCACCAGACTCAGTAATCAGAAGTAAGGTGGAGTTACTACGTCCCATCTCGTTCTGGGCTTCACAGTAATAATTCCCACTGTGTTCAGCTGTGAAGTTAGTGATGGTGAAGATCTGTCCTGATGCTCGTGGTGAGTCTTCATGCTCCTTGTACCAGGTGTAGTTAGCTGCTGGGTTAGCATCAGTGCTACAGGTCAGAGTCACTAAACCGCCCTCCAGCATCTCAGCAGAGGGACTCACTGACACAGAGGGACGCTGTGGACCATCTGGAGGCGACGTGTCAACATATTGTTACACGTTAGAGTTCAATAAATAGAAGTTCATAACAAAACACTACCTCAGTAGTGATTATGTTGCTTTTAAAAAGGTTGTTTCACTCACATTTCACAGCGATAGAGATGAAGTCAGACGTCTTCCTCCCCAGCTGGTTCTCAGCTGTACAGGAATAATTTCCAGAGTCAGAGGACTGGATGGAGCTGAAGACCAGCTGAGGTTCTTCACTGAGAAGACGAGGGTCTGACGTTCCATCCTGCTTGTACCAGGTGTAGTTAGCTGCTGGGTTAGCATCAGTGCTACAGGTCAGAGTCACTGAACCGCCCTCCAGCATCTCAGCAGAGGGACTCACTGACACAGAGAGACGCTGTGGACCATCTGGAGGAGACGTGAATAAACATACTAAGAGGTTAGAAGATGTTAGCGTAGATAGTTGATCATTTGAATGAATACTTGTGTGTCTTTCTCTCAGACTATCTCTATTATTCATCACAGCAGCTGTCACAGGTGAGACTCCTGCTGGTGTAAAGTGACAATAAGCAGCCTTTAATCCTTTGTAATGTTCATATCTCCACACATTCTTCTCTTTAGATGCTGCTTGTGTCCTTAGCTGAGTCTGTCCTCTCACTTCTAGTTGTTGTAGGAGTTATTGATTGTTTCCTCCACCAGCTGACACGTCACTTCTACTTATGTTCTGGAATAATTCACTTGAGTCTTTATGAAAATCACATTATTCTGTCTGCTGATGGTTTATATTTGTGTTTCTATTAATAAGAGAATGACATAAATAAAGATCTGTGTCTCCTTTAACATTTAGACTCCAGTGTGTTTACAGCTGTGATTAGAATCATATTGTTGTGTCAGTGTGTGAGTGACTCTTCTACACGTAGACTGCAGGGGCCGGGGATTGAACCAGCAACCCTCTGGTCAGTGGACCACGGCTCCACCTCCTGAGGAACGTTGTGTTTCATCTTTTTGATGCCTCTAGTTTACATGCAGCGGTCTGGTGCCTCCATGTGAGATGTTGGTGAAGCTCCACAGGCCGACACAGTGGAGTGAACTTACACACTGCAGGAGAACGTTGATCCCAAGATCCTCTTAAATAACAGGAATATCTGTCTGTAGAACCAGAGGAGACTAGAAGAGAAGATCCTGTCTTGATGTTCTCTTCATTCTTGTACCAGACGTATTCAGCACGATCAGACAGAACACAGTTGCTGTGACACGTCAGCTCCAACCAGGTAGAATCTGATCTTCTCACCTGCACCTGGAGACCTGAATCTGTGAATATTATTTATTAAAGTGTCAACATTCACAGAAGACATTTATACACTAGATGTTGAACATTTGTAGATGATTAATATGTGAATTAAAATGTTACCTGTGACAGACAAAGTGACTCCAGGTGAACCAGTATATTTCTCTCCTGGTTTGTTTGTCATGAATCTGAATTTGTACTCAGCTGAGTCGCTCTCTCTCACGTCTGTGATGATCAGATAACAACTCTTACTATAACATGTGTGCTTCACACGGCCTGAATACTCAGAGTCTGTTGTGAGATCCACACGTTCACCATCTTTCTCTTTAGTGAACCAGAATCTGTCCTTTATATCAGAGTAACGTATTCCAGGTGGGTGTGTGATGTCACAGCTTATTAACACTGTTGATCCTTTTGCAGCACAGATGTCAGTCTGAAGGTAATTCACTCCCCATCCATCCTGACTCTGTATCACTGTAACACAGCACATCAGGAACCACAGTCACACTCAGAACAACATCACAGGACACACTCTCATTGGTAGTTTACTGAAGAGAAAAGATATTATGAGAAATATGAAAATCATTGAGTTTATAGAAAGTAATGAAAGAGTCCACGATGTCCACATGGACTCTGCAGCTGGAAGGAACAGCGACGTATTGAACCTGTGGACCTGAAAAAGCTCAAGTTGAAGTATTAGAAGGGTTTGGTTGATGAGAAGAAGAGTGTCTTTGCTCTGTGCTCTTCTGTCTGTGGTCAGTCTGCTGCAGAGTGGAGATGGAAACTGTAGAGAAATGCAGAACTCTGAGGGGAACGATACTGTGACATATAGATCACACCTCACTGAGGACACGGCGCTCAGCATCCGGCAGTGAATCAATTATCTGTGACACAGGTCAAAGCTACAAAATGTCCCTCAAAGAGACACTGAACTGTCAGGGGTCTGGGTGGAAGGCAAGACTCAAATGCAGACTTCTCCAAAACAAAAGACTTTAATAGTCAAAAAACACAGGAACCGGGGGCAAAAGCACACAGGCAAGAAACTACGGACATCCAAGACGCAAGACAAGAAGATGCGTGGCAAAAGACAATGACGCGACAAGTGACAACAGACACACATGGTTTAAATACACAAGGGAGGTGCAGGTGATTGGACACAGGTGGAAACTATTAAGACGATCACAGGGGACGACGGGACAAGGCAGGAAGTGAAGTTACCCGGGGACACGAGTGGCAGAAAACTACAAAATATAACATGAAGTGAACCACACCGTGACAGTAAACAACCAGGAAGAGAATAAAAATGACCACAAATACACGAGAAGACACGACAAAAAGGAGAACAGCCGTAGTCAGAGACTCGGAGTGAATAACAGCCTCTAAATGTGGTCTAATGCAAAGAAACGCTGCTGAACGATTAGAGGAAGTTCAACAGAGACAAATTATTCAGAGCATTTCTTCTTTGTTAATGTTCATTTAGTCATTATTTGTGTGTGATGACATCAGACCTGTGTGTGAAGTAAAAACACAGCTCCCTGTGTGTGTGTGAGGTGTGTAACGGCCTCACAATATAAATGTAGAAGTACAGTACCTTGTACAGAGAGAAGGAAGACGACTAATCCACCGGCTGATGGACTCATAGCTGCTCCTCTGTGTTCAATCAGCAGATCAGAAACTCTTTATTCAGTAAGTCACCAGAAACACGTCTACATTAAAGAGGAGGCTGATGTCTCTGAGGTCAGCTCGTCTCTTCTGGAGTTGGGAACAAGCTGCTGTTCAACACCCGGCAGAGCTTCCTTCCTGTTTCCGTCATTAGTATGCATGAGCTGCAGAACAAGAAGCTGCTTTAATGTTAACGTCTTACTTCTGCTAAAAGGAAACATCATAAAAGTGTTGTTAATATGTGAAGATCATCTTGATGAACCTGTAAGCAGCATAAACGTCTCTTCATTCTCTGTAATAATTCACATTAAGTGAAAGGCTGCAGTGTGACGTCCTCCTGTTAACATGTAGATAAATATGTCCTCTCTGCATCTCTTCATACGTCTTCCTCACATTCACTGCAGGACACAAACAACACAAACAAGCTGTCAACTCACACAAATGCTGCTTTATTCATTTATTGTTCATACATTTCCATTACAATATGAAAGTGTCTGTTGAGGACAGTGTGTAGTGTTTAGTGACATCTAGTGGTGAGGTTGCAGACTGCCGACTCCTCCCTTTAAGTCCTTCAGGTAACGTGGAGATGAAAAAGGCTCCCAGTGAACATATGAAGCGCTCCTCTAAAAAAACTTCTTAGTGATGAAAACATGGTTATTGTTGGGAAGATTAAAACAAGCTTCAGACCGTTTGGGGGGCAGGTGCTCAAACCAAAAGAAAAGGGCAGAAGTGTCTTTCTGCTTTTGGAGTCTCTCTTCTCTTTGCATTAAGCTGCACATTCTGTGAATGAGATAAATTAATGTTGTGCACAATAATCAAAAGTTGACAACACACACAAATATTTTTGTAAGCATAAGCAGCATTACACTAATAATACACCAGATTGTAGCTCAACTTAAGACCTACCTTTTAATTTGTAGAAGTGTAAAACTGCCTTTAAATTCTCTGCCTGTCTGTCACGTTTAATGAAGAGAGAGATACAAACGTCAGTAATCAGCTGGACGAGGCTTTGAATTCACAGAGTTTTTTGTTTGTATATTTTTTAGGAAACGTTGGACCAGTTGTGACGTCATCTAATGTTGCATCTGTGCACGTGCCTGCCGAGCCCGACTGCCGACGGGAAGAAACTGTGGGTGTGGCGGGAGGTCTTAGTCCATCATCATGAACAAACATTACCCTCTCCTATGTGATGGTGGTCCTATGTGATGGTGGTTCTATGTGATGGTGGTTCTATCTTATGGTGGTCCTATGTGATGGTGGTTCTATCTTATGGTGGTTCTATATGTATTACAATTACAGGTTTTACATTATTGTCATAACTTTATTGATGACACAGTTTCAGAATCATGGCTGTATTCTGGTGTAAACTATATGCATTTTATTCATTTTATGAACCGGGTCGTCAGTTTATTTCTAATATCCTACATGATCCAGCGTGTTCTCCTCTCTGGTGGGCATTTAATAAACTGTCTGTACTTAGGAAGTTGATGGGTGAGATTTCCTTTGTTAAAGTCCCCGAGGACAATAACTAAAGAGTCCGGGTTGGTCCGCTCCACACGCCGTATCTGGTCGGCGAGTGTCCGCTGAGCCTCGTGCACGTTGCCCGCCGGCGGCGTGTAAACACCGACCAGGATGAATGAAGCGAACTCACGGGGGGAATAAAAGGGTTTGCAGTTGATGGAGAAAGTTTCCAGATCAGGAGAACAGTGTTTTAGGGTCACCGTTACGTCGTTGCACCAGCTGCTGTTGGAGTAGAAGCAGATTCCTCCACCCTTCGTCTTGCCGGAGAGCTCCGTGTCGCGGTCCGCTCGGAGCAGCTGGAAGCCCGCCAGCTGGAGCGCGGAGTCCGTGACGAAAGGTGAGCGCACCTTTGACTAGAATGTGCAGTAATTCCACGGAAGAAAGCAGGAAAGTTGGAAGTAACTCCACTGGAGTTGTTCATCGGATGTTCAAGAGCTCATCTCTGGTGAAAGAGCTCCGGGAATCGCAGCAGGAAACATAATTAACAACAAAAACAACAACAAACGAAGCGCACCGAAGCACCGTGGCGGCCATCAACGGCGCCAACGTGCATGAAAACAACGTTCTGCCTGAGGTATGTCTCCTAAAGTTATTATACCTCAGAACTAATACGTGTTAACGAGGAATACACTCAAATCGGTTTGAAGCACAGAACGTAAAAAACAAACAAACAAACAAAACAGAAAAACAGAAGTCAAAAACGTGTAACTTATCATAATCACCTTCAATTTCATCCTGGTTTTCTTTTGCTGTAACTTCAAAAGGCTTTTTCCAGATTAGTGTCTGGATGGACAAACAATGTGCTGGATTGATGAGCAGCACGTTTCTCCTTCAATGAACTGAACCTTTGCTTTCATTCTTAAGTGGAATACGGACTGCAGCCCATCACACCAGTTTAACATGAAGATGAGAAGGACGAGGTGAAGCTGAGCTCTGGCCTGAAGAGGTATTACGTCAATGTTTGTTAGCAGAGAGAATGACATTCTTCTTTGTATTGTGGCAACCCACGAATCAGCACCCTGGACAGCGCCTCAAGAGATCAGCACCAAGGTCTGGGGCACCGACGAGCCAGAGGTCAGGTGAGAAGGGGAAACGCCCCTCCCGACCCCCCTCACTATAAAGGACCACCCATTCATGCAGCCTGGGGAACTAGACGTATAGGAGATGGCCTCACGCTGGGGGGGTTTTGGAATGAGTGTAAATCCTGTTTTCTGTGCTTCCCGCAGGAAGGGGACTGAAGGCCGAACAGCCTGTTGAACCGAGCCCTCAAAAGAGGAAGAACCTATTTTGCCCTTTTCCCTTTTTTTGTATGTCAAAATAAACCGTACCCTTTTTTTGTGTGCAGCTGGTCGTGTATCCGAGTCCTGTGATTTCACCCACACCCGTTGGTTGCCACAATATATATATATATATATATATTTTACTGTATCTGCGGGCGTGTTGCTCACTGACATAATGACACAGTACTCGTTCAATGGACACAGATTAAGCCCTTTAATATTTATCTACATAAGATATTTAAGAACAAGTTACTGTTCTCACGCAGAAGGACGTATTAGAATGTGACTCAAAGCTGAAGTCACTCAGTGAGTGTTACTCACTAAATGAAGAGATGTCCACATGTGAATCTGATTGTTACTGTTCATTTATTTTCCTGTCAGGATGTTGGATTATTGCTCATTCAGGTTTATCGTTGGCTTGAACCTAAAGACAAAAGTTGACTGAATATTCTCCCCTTAAGTTCTCAGTGTGCTCTTCTATTCTATTGCTAAATTAAATCCACCCTGATCGTGTGTGTATCCAGGGACTCATTTTGATTTCAGAAGTATTTCTAAAAGTATTTTTAATCAAACTAGTAGTTCTTCTAGTTTTCTACTGCTACTGTTCCCTTTTTGGTTTGGCTGGTTGTAAAGCATGTAGCAAAACATCATTCTGTGTTTCACCTTGTTAGTCATCTTCACTCCAACTCAGTAGCACCTATTTCACACTTACAGTGGAGGAGTAACAGGGACTCCTCGAGGCAACTAGCAGACCGGTTTACAACCTGATGACAGCGGGGACGGCCAATCACACGAGCAACAGCAGAGCCAATGGAGGAGCTGGTGGGCGGGTCTAAACCAGTGACGAAATTTGACGAACATTTTTTGTTAACGGACCTTTTTTCCATGACTAAGACGAGACTAAGACGATCTTAAAAAATAAAAACTACGACTAAATCTTAACTTTCGTTAACGAGACGAGACGAACATGTTGGTGGTTGAGGAAGTCACGATACTTTTTCCCCCTGAATTCGCACGCAGCTGACAGACAACAGACAGGCAAAGTACGGCGGTGTTACGTACAGTGCTCTACGGGTAGTAGGTCTACAGATGTGGTGTTCTGTTTTGTGTTGTTGGTTTGGTTTTGTCTCCCCCTTCTGTTTCCATTCTCTCACTTCACAGATGTGCACACCTGGTTCCCCTCATCCAATCACCACACCTGTTCCAGATCTCCCATCAACCGTTCCCCTTCACAGAGTCAATGTTTGTTCTCAGTGGGGAGGCTCTTCTGTGTTGAGCTGGGCCCGCGGTTTGAAGACCACTGTCTTGTGTTAAAATTGAATTAGTAACAGCCTACTGGTGTTTTTGTGATATCTTTTGGTTGTGCGCACAGGGTCAATGAGGACAGGTAAGATACTCCGGGGTTTACATATTGCTACACGTAGGTGTACCTGTTGTTAGTACCCTAGGCTAGAGTGAGCACCACCCACTGTATTTTTGGGTGCTAAGCACCGGTCAATGAGGGGGGGTGTTTATGTTCTCTTCTTGGTGCCACTGACAGTCCTTGTTGATCCCTGTGTTGCTCTTTTGAAAAACAAATACTTTGTTACGTTTCGTGTATTGGATTCTGTGTGGCTAACGCCTCACTTGCCTTGACCTGTCGCCCTTATGTTGCGCTCCGGGTCGAGCCACCAGGGGGCGTAACAGGCGGATATTAACGCGTCATGACGTCATCCACGAACCCAGAACGCCCCCAGCGGTGCAGCGGTGGTTCTTGTGCACCGACTACGGACCGCGACGACTATTTTACGCTTCGGCGAGTTTGAACCTGGCTTCGTTAGTTTAGCTCCGCTGTCTCGGGTTAGCTGCCTGTTAGCTGCCTGTTAGCTGCCTGTTAGCAGGCTGAAGCCGCGCTGCTTCACAGAAACATGAAGACGCGTTTAAAGACCGTCGGACCTTTCTGCTCTGTTCTCTGGCGACGGCAGGCAGCGTCTCCTCGCTGGATGAGACGCTCCGTCACAAACGCGTCTAACGTAATAAACTCATTGCAGGTTCTGAAGCCAAGAAAATAATGTATTGGAGCGATTTGTAGGACGTTAAGGTCTCTTTTGTTGGGACAGTGGAAACAATAAAAGACCATGAAGTGTCAAAAGCGTCGCAAATAAACAGACAAAGACCACAAAGTGTTGCGTTTAGGTCCCTGGTCCTCATCAAGTTGTTACACCTTTGCCAATTTGTTAAATTGCCTTGCAAATAAATGCTTTGCTATTTGCTAAAATCCAAATCCTTTCATGTAATGTTCACACGCCATTTATATCAGCTCACACAAACACTTCCACCATTTGTTCTTCGTCACATTTTACAACCCATTGTGGCCGCGAGTCAAAACGTTTGCCGACCTGCTATAGACCTGTCCTAGGAGGGACATCTATAGACCTGTCCTATAGGAGGGACATCTATAGACCTGTCCTATAGGAGGGACATCTATAGACCTGTCCTATAGGAGGGACATCTATAGACCTGTCCTGGGAGGGACATATTATGCAGCTGTAGACACAACACAGGGCGTCCCTGGGCCTGAGAAGGGAAGAAAAGGAGTTTAATATGGCTGTTAAATGTGACTAAAACTAATTACATTATAGTCTAGTTTTCGACTAAAACTAAGGATTAAAATGACTAAAAGGACGAAAAATGCATTAGTTTTAGTCACAAAGACTAAATCAGAAATAGCTGCCAAAATGAACACTGGTCTAAACTGAGGGAAACCGGCTTCAGCTTGAGCGGCCCTTTTTCCGCTGGGTCCTAGTGCTTGACCAGTCTCTGTTTACCGTAGCGTAACATTGTTTTTGGACAGTAAACACAGCAGGGGACCAAAACAGGCTTTTTAAAAGGTGCAGGGGACATGTCTCCTATGTCCTTCCCCCAATGTGATATTGTGTATTGTTAAGGTTTCGGAAGCTCTCGAGGGAGGACTCAATCCCTTGTTCTCGTCCCGGCCGGAAACGAGGACACGAATGAGTCAATTCGTTTAAATTCAAAGATCAAAAGTTATTTAATAACTGAACAACGTAATAGCGATTACAATTACAAAGTGAAATACTAAGCGAACAGTGGAATATTTCGCGAAATAGAGAATCCTCTGAGCAAGTCTGAAGTGACTTATCAACGCGGCTGCAGGAGAAGTTCTAACAGTCTTTTCCCCGCCATGGTCCTTTGAAACCTCTTGAGGTGTGTCTTCCTTGGTGCATTTGAATGTCATTGGCCTCTTCTCCAAAGGGTCACCTCCTCCATTGTCCCTTCCACGTCGAGGTGTGAAGCTGCAGCTGTAACCTGAAACCTCTCTGTCCTAGCTGTCCCTCACATTCCAATGCACTCAATGTAGATACATTCAGCTTTATGGCGCGAATGAATGAACTTAACAAAGCATACAGCGTTTAAGTCTTCATCTTATAACTAGTACACTTTAATTACAACAACCCATCACTAATGATCACCGTTCATCACACTTCATCATAAGATCTAAAACAGTTCATGTGGTTCAATTCTCAAGACATTTGCCTCAGTCGGCTGCCTTGAAATAAGTTGTTCATTTTATTACCTGACAGGAGAAAAAACTCCCAAAAAACCCTTTTTGGGGATAAAATTGGGAGAAATCCATAAAGAACGGCAATTGGCATCCGTCCCCAGGTTTTAACATCACATTGTAACAGAATGTAAATGTGTAGTGTGTTTCTACGTTTTAAAAGACTATAAACTGTGTTTGATTCACATTGTATTCACTTCATCTAACATGTTAATGTAATAACTAATATCTAACATCACACAAACTATAATTCTAACACTAAACATCATTACACGTACTACAATTCTATGACTAGGGGTGCACTTCTGGCTTAAATCCCTAACAATTCCCTCCTTGCTCACAGTTCACTGTGAGCATCCCTCAAAGACAGAAAAATGATCATACAGTCACATCCGTCAACAGTGATTGTCCCTCATCATCTACTCGCTACCGATTTCCCTGTATACTAGTCTCACTAAGCACAATATCGATCAATCCCTGCAGGAATCCAAGGATGCAGGAGATGCAGCTTCATCCGTAGTGGACTAGATCATGACTGTAACACAAGAAGGGTTAACGCAGACAGGAATGCACTTTTCCGTTGTGCTATAATACTGACAAACCCGTTGGTGAGAGGATTGTCGTCGCCTTAGTTGTCTGTCAGCTGCTGGTTCAAGCTGGCAGTGGGGCTTGTGCTCTAGTCCCCAAGCCACCAGGAGCTGTGTTGTTGGAGATGATCCGCACAGCAAACAGATCCAAACATTTTGCAGAAGTTACCATTTCCAGCTAACATCATGTCTAAAGCCACTTTATTATTCTAGGCCATGAGTCTCATTTCATCCAATGACTCATGCAGGTCTTCATTTGTAGCACCTGTCTGTCATTAAATGCAGTTTCATCCAATCAACATTTTATTATTGTCCACAAATTCAGCTGATTCAGTGATCTGATTCTGGAATTCAACATCATCTGGCACCCTCCTGGGCACCCCAATGGCATCTAAGTACACATGACTATCAAATGAGCCCGCAGGACTAGTGGATCTCTTCGCTCTCCTGGCGACGTGAGGATGTGGTGAAATCAAGTCTTGAAATGTGGTCTCCTTCACACACCCTCCCAAGAAGTGTCAGCTTCAGCTCCAACCTGATCAGCAGTGGATTCCTGTTTGTTAGCAGAGGGTTTAACAACAATCTTAAACAACCCTTGTGGGCTTTCAATATCGTATGTCCCTCCTTTCAACACGTATAGTCCACTGTCCCCCAATTCTGGATTTTCCAATGTGATTATTAGTGGATTGCACAACCCTCCCCCACATTTTGCCAAATCTGGATATCGGTTTTTCCGCATCGTTAAACGGGTTTGCAGCCCAGGTTTAGGACCAGTTTTAGATGACTTCCATCTACCAGTGTGTGCGAACTTCCATTCTGCCTCCTCGCAGTCACAGCCGTACTGCTCCACTGGCTTACCAAACCTGACTC